ATAATTCTGAATTTTGTATTCTCTTTCAGGAATGAGGCTCTTATTTTGTATCCTATAGTGTAGAATATATTAGGCCTGACATTCATGTATTCAACAATCATCCTTTCAGCACACACCCCATGAAAGACCCAATGCCTGGTATTGTGAGGGATATGAGGATGTATCAGACAAGGATTGGGGGCAAGTAGTAAGGATGTAAGGGACATGTACACAAATAATCCCAATGTAAGCCAGAGAAAGTATACAGAAAAGTAAAGATGTGGTGCTATTGGAATTCTGGACAGAAATAGAATCATTCCCAAACAAAAGATTAAGGAAAGACTTTTTGGAAGAATTGGCTTTTGAGCTAGGCCTAGAAGGATGGGAAGAATATAGCCATAAAAAATTTAATGGATAGGAAAGAGGAAGGAGAATGCAGCAGAAGTGCAGAGAAAAATGTCCTTTTCCATACAAATTACACTTCATTAAAAGAAGATAAAATATTTTTTCCCAAGATTATTCTATATTCCCATTACTTTTTACAAATAAATGTGTTCAATAGTTATAGTATTCACTTTTCAAACATTCGAAGATAAATTATCCTACTCCTATATTTTTCTTCATTCTTATCTCTTAGGGTCAGTTAAGCCCATTTAAATATCACCAGAAGAAAGATACAGGATGGCCCTCATTTTCATAAAATTATTCCAAAATCTCTATGATCTAAATGTAGCTCTACACAGCTAAATCAAGGAATTATTTTAGTTCATTCTAATTGTGTTTGTAGTGTGTGGTAGTTATGTTTTCTATCAAAGATTTCTGAAGCAAGTTATAGAAGTCTGTTATCACTATTTCATGTATTAACATGTAATGGTGAGCTAACAATTTGATTGAAAATATTAACAAATGTTTTAAATATGTAGCCAATTTGAACACAATACTCTGCTCAGTGTCTATGGTATGATGCAAAACTTTCCCACATCCTAAATATCTGTGCTGTATAATATATATAATATGTAATTGGGATTATTCAGATATTACCCATAGCAGAAGCTCTTTGTTCATAATGGCTTCTCTATTTAACCTACTACAAATTAACCAATTATTCTACGTTGAAGGTGGTTATTTCCACAGTGGCATCTTAAGTCATATTTAGCTTTAAATGTAACAGAACACACTCACCTTTTTCTTAACTGCCCACAGTATTTTTCCTAAACAAAATTTCCCTTCACTCCTTTCACTATGTTGTCCCTTGGGTCATTGGAAAATCCAAACTTTTGTACATGTAGATTTCTTCCACTCCATAAAGACCTTAAAGTTGTTTCTTTCTTTGCCCCCACCTGTCCCTCAAATATTGCTTAATAACTCTTAAAGGAGATTGTTAGTTAAGTCTCCTTGTGTGTAAATAAAGTTGGTCAATAAATGATCAATGCTATAATGATTTTGCAACAATTAGTTCCATGGGCTTCTGTCAATCACATAAAGGGGAGAAGTGGAGAATCACTTAACTATCACATGGATTCCCTTTATTTTCCTATGAAATTTGCAACTGTTTTTTAGAAAATCTTAGATGATTTAGTTTTCTAAAAATTCATTTATTTTACACAATTTTATTCATAATTGCCAAAAAAATAAAAGCCAAACTCAAAAGGCTACATATTGCATTGCTTCTACTTATATGACATTCTAGAAAAGGCAAGACTGTGGTGACAGAAAACAGATGGTGATTGCCAGGACCTGGGTGATGAAAATGCATTATACCTTAATTTTGGTGGTGGTTACATAGTAGTCTGCATTTGCCAAGCTCATACAACTTTAAATGGATAAATTTTATCATATGTAAATAACATCTCAATAAATCTGACTTTGAAGAATCAAAAATTCATTAATATCACAGATTTTGAGTCAATCTAAAGAGATACATATATATTTTCTTCAACAATCTTTAAGAAATCCATCAAGAAAGTAAAGGAATTCTTGGTTCCATAAGACGTTTTAAGAATTTCCCTCTTTTCAGAGTACCAATAAGTATTTTCCTATCTTTTGTTTTACAAATACAAATTACGTTTTAGGAAATAAAACCATATTGCTTTGATTTCATCACTGTCTTAAATACAAGTTTACTAAAAAAATAAAAACTCTAAAAATAAGTGTATTTAGTTAAATACCAGCTTGTTTAATGAGTTCATGGGTTATGGTAATCATCCAATCTCAGAATGACACACTACTATTTCAATGTTTGCAATTGCAAGATTATTATATTTTACCTCTCACAGTCTATTAAGCAACTTAATAATTCAGACAGATAATGGAAAAAAATCATTGCTAGAAACTCTCACATTATATAACTGATATTCAGTTTCAAGAAACAAAATAGCAGGATAAGAGATAATCCTAAGAAAGATGCTTTGGACAGCAAATACCTTACCTTTGCGTTTGGGTCGCATAGCTATTATCATAAGCCTCATAGGTCGGGTCCTCATATTCACCCCCATAGCCATCATCGTACCCCTGAGACAGAAAATGGTAGAAAGACCTATTAGCAATCAATCTGAATAACTTTGAGATCTTTTTCATTAATAAGATTTTATACAATGTGACCTTGGTCTAGTTTTATGTTTGGTTGGTGACCATATATCACATTTTATTAGATTAACAATTCCCATATAACCTTGAATAATATTTCATGGATCAGGTATTAATGTTTATTAATTAAAATCAGCATATTATTGAAGTAGCAACACTTACTCTAAGATTTATTTAGAACTTTCATCAGTAATATTAAAGAAAAAAATTATAATGAAGACAATTTAAGAAATTCAAAATATATTTTTCTTTTGAAAATATTTGGTTAGATAAGAACAATTGTGATACACTAATGGTGGTGCTAACATATTTGTTACAACCTCACTAGAAGTTTTTTTTCTTCTCCTAATAATAATCATAATTAAGACAGAAACTATAAAGTACAGGATCCTTAAACTGTAGCCAACTTTCAGCAAAAAAGATGGAGGCATTTCTTCAAAAAAAGTAATAAATAAATAAAAAAAAGAAAGAGAAAAGGAACGGAGAAAGGAAGGAGTGGTATGAAGACCTTTTATTTTCTTGCACATTCTATGATTTTTAAATCTCTTAATTAAAATAATGGTGTGTAGTGAGTTTTATTACCCGACTAAATTACACTAACAAAGCTAACGCAGATTTTGTCATTGCAGCATGTGCAAGCAAGCTAGCAATTACACACTCTAATTATCAATCACTCTGTAAATGATTTAGTTTTATTTCCCTTTGTGGTCATTGACTTTAAACCCTAGCCATCCATCTCAATTACTCCATATTTCTGAAAACTTCTTCAGGTTTTCTGACTCTGGTGCTGGTGCATCACTTTCCCTGGAAAGCACTTCCACCCCATCCTATCAATTCATAATTTCATTTCAGTATGGAGGCTTATAAATCTCTCTTTTTTAATCGTGTTCAAAAATTTCAGCAGAAAATGTCTAGATGTGCTAGTTTCCTCATTAATCTTGATTAAGACTTTTGAGACCATTTAATCAAAAGACTAATTTTTTATCAACTTAGGAAGTTTTGAAAATTTTATTTATTTCTTCTTTTCCATCAGGTCTACTCTTTAAATAATGCTATTATTTACATATTAGGGTTTCAAAATCCCACTTCCATTTCTTCTATTTTTTCACTTCATCATATTTTTGCTCTACAGCATGGAATAGCTTCTCTATTTGATCTTTGAATACTCTAATTTGAGTCCTATTGAATTTAAAACTTTTAAAAAAATTCCAAAGTTACTTTTAGTATTTATAAAAAAATTACATGCAGATGATTTAAAAATGGTACTAAAGGGTTTATGTCCAAAAACTAGTAGCTTCTTGTCTTGTTCTTCTTCAACCTTCAGTGTTCTCTTAGTCTTTTCATCTATTATTTTAGTATTTATTTTTGTGTTATTAAGTAATACAGTTAATTTACTGTTGCTTGATTTATGAATTTTAGTCATTTTCTATTGACTGGCCATTTAGGTGGTTAAGATTTAGTTCTATTATAGATTCTTCCCCTTATCTCTCCCTATGCCTATCTTCCTAATATTATTTCATCATAACTTTTTATTAAGTAGTCACTTCCTTTTGTGTTACATGGAGCATACTTCCTGAAGAACCATAAAAACTAAACCAAGGTCACATTGCCACAGGTGCCTCGTGGGGTGCAAACTTCTTTTTAAGTATCAGGCTTTTGGCCCTCTACCAAGATTATAAAAATATGGCTTCACTCACCTTAACTTTTTATTCAGACTCAAGAGCTCTAGCTTCCAAAAGGAGGCAAGGGAGTTCTAATTTGTTTTGTTTTGTTCCATTTTATTTTTGTTTGTGTCTTATAGAAAGGAGCTAGAGAAGCCAGGGGTGGGGGTAGGTACATGTCTTCAGGGCCTCAAGTTTTCTGAATTCCCTATGTTTTCCCCATTTTCATCCATTGAGATTCTACTGATTCTTCAAGGTCAGTATAGATGATACTATCTTCGGGAAGCTTTTCCTGTTCCTACTAACCATATGGTAACTTGTAGTCCTCTGAATTCCAATAGCCTGTTGTTTTTTATC